CCAGCCTTCCCTGGCTTCAAGTATAGGCCTTGAACTTTTGTCACCTTTTCTCTGAATCTCAACACCAATAGTAAACATCTTGCAGGTCAAAATAAATGTTCCTTGCTTCTGTGCAGCCCAGTTCTTTTTCATGGTTTTGGCAGATGAGCCTCTTACCTTACCTAAAATACTGATCTGGCGCCAGCTGAAAGTTCTGTAAGCCTGTGCCAGAAAAATATTAAATTTGGAAAACCAGTTGTACTGTCTTTTAGTGTTCTAGTTTAGAATTACCTGAGTTCTGAGGTATGACAGTTCTTTAATGCAGCTGCATTATCCACTGGTATCACAAAACACAGGCAGAAGAGGGTCAAGATTCTTCTCTGCAAGTAACAATTAAAAGAAAGTTTATGAATGTCAGTGAGTGTAAACTTGAAATGTTAGTTATGGAGGAGTTTAGTTTCTTTAACAGGGAATAATTTAATCTTGTCTTCCTACAAAATACATGAAGTAAAGATGGTTTGTTGATGGCACATTTGGCTGCCTCAAGGGAGGAACAGACCTCTGCCTGGGCTCTGTGCCCAGATGATTTGGGATTAATGTATTAATTTGTAATCCTATTGCTACTGGTGATTAAAACTCCTATTCTTATTGCTGCTTGCATTCTGTCATAGATGCAACAGGTTACTAAGTCTGTTTTAATATTACAGTAGCATGTACTACTTATTTTCAGAGGATAATGGCATTATATTGTATAGGTGCCTTCAAGTTCATTGAAATAATAGAAACTTTATTTGGTGACCAGAAGATGTCACTGTTGATACATGAAAATAAAACAGCAGTCCTCGAGTTTTATCTTTTGGTCAGCAGCATCTCTTTCAGAAGAAAATGTGAAAGTAGCCAAAGCTTCATCATGCTTTTAAATCTGAAAGCAAATACATGTGTGTCAGTATATGGTGCATAAGGAATTTTTCATGAACCCTGTGCATTTATCTCACCAGGATGGTAGTAATTATTCCAGCTGTGAGGTCCTGAGCTCCTGCTTTGGTTGTCCTGGGGAGAAAGAATCTCTGCTTCTGACAAATGTGAATGTTAATTTCATGTTCCCAATGAATTCTGAAGTTCTGTGTGACATTTCTCTTGGCTGGGTTTTGATACAAAGAAAACTTCAACTGTAAAAAGATAAAATGTGGCGTTTACTTTTCCATATCTATTTGATGTATAAAAGCCAAGTAAGCTAGCAGCTACCTACACTGAAGAACTAATATGAAAAAATCCTATAAAATGTGACATTTACTTTTCCATATCTATTTGATGTATAAAAGCCAAGTAAGCAGCTAGCAGCTAGCACCTACCTACACTGAAGAACTAATACGAAAAAATCTTGTATGTTTTGTTGTTGTTGTTAATGTTTTCCTTGTTGCATGAAATTAAAGTATCTTTCTGTTCCTTGCAGCTGGAAACAATGTGGAGGTTGATGAATCTTTATTCCAAGAAATGGATGATTTAGAGTTGGAGGATGAAGAGGATGACCCTGACTACAACCCTGTTAATTTAGATAGTGATTAGACTTATTTGAACTGATTCTGTCATCAGTATGGACATATGTAAGGGGAGAGGGGCAGGCAGGAAAGCCACAGCATCTGTGGTTTTAGTAATGTGTATTGCTTTTCTTTTTTCATAATTTTTTTCCAAAGAAAAAAACAATTTATTTTAAATCCAGGAGAAGTCTTCTGATGACTTTCACTATAAATAAATTTACTTTTAATATTTCAAATGAAAAATTTGAGAAATATTGATCTGTCTGAAAACACTTTTCTATTTTCTCTAATTTTTTTTCTCCCTACATCTTTAATTGTCCTTTGAAGAGATGTGGCAACATGCAAGATGGAATGATGTTACAGCAAGCACTAAACACACCTGCATCTGAATGCTGAGCAGCTTTTCTGCTGTCTTCCACCTGGGATAAACATGGGCAGCTTTGGTGAATAAAAGGGATCACATACTATGCAGTTATTTATTTTGTTGTTCCTCCTGTGGAATCTTTTAATAATTCAAGTCAGTTCTGGTGCCCCAATTTTTCAGCTTAGATAGACAGCACTAGTCACCTTTGTTGTACAGCCTTATTAAAGTCTAGTGGAAACCATTTCCATACAATTAGAATGAATTTTTTTGCCATAGTAATGAATAATATTTTCACAATGGTGATTTCAGGTCAGTAGGGAAGAAAAAATCAGAATGTGAAGCCTCTTAAAGTTTGGTTGGTTTATTCAGAGATCGTTTGGGTTTTTTTTGAATGTGTGCCTCAATGAATTTCTGTGAAAAATCAAAACCCACCTTAGGAAAATTAGTTTGCTTTTGGCAGCAGACTGTATTGAAACACTATGAGTGGAGTGCACATTACAGCAGCAGGGTTTACAGAGTGCTCTATAGGTTTGAATGTAACTGGTGTAGTTTTAGAAACATTGTCTTGGCAGCCTGTGAAGGTTAGCACAGAATGCAGTAAAGCTACACATCAACTTGGGGATGTTGCCCATCCTTCAGAGTTGTTTCTGGAGCTAACAGCTGTTGGACTCCTCACTTACCACCTCCAAAAAGCCCAAACACTGCAAAAACTGCAGTGTTTAAACATGCTGTGTTTGAAACTGCAGCGCTACAAGGACGATGGTGTCAAAAGACAGCTTTCCAAACAGAGAGACAGGCACCTCAATGATTAAACACTGTGTGCTGAATTTTAAATACTGTTAGTAGACTGCCTTAACTGTGCCAGCTTCAATCTTTGAAGAGGGTTGCACTAAAGTATCACATTGCTTAGAGGAATAATAAATTTATGAATTTTGGTATTTGAAAATTCCATAGTCAAGATGAGAAGTTTAATTATGGAATTCATTTAATGGTTATAAGATTCTCTGCTCATATCGCTCGAGAACATCTGTTTAGGATGACCTCCTTTAATATGGTTTTATTTTTTTCATTCAAGTTAAATGAATTTCTAGTAGATAGAAATAAGTGTTCAAGTACCCTGTAAATACTTTTATAAATTAACCATGTGCCTTTGTTCCTACAGTCGTCCCTTTGATCTTTTTAATTTTGGCTACTAAGAACTCTAGATAAGCATCTAGGTCTCAGTGATAATGTTTTATGTTTCCAAGCAATAAGCAGGATCTGTGCTTCAGATCAGAGTTACCAGATACATTAAAAAAATTGTGAGCTAATGTGATATCAAATCTTGTCTTTTCCAAAGAGACAGTTGGATTGAAAGCTTCATAGTTACTACATCCAGCTTCCTGTGTAATTGCTAGGATGCTTTAAAATGCTCTTCAGCACTGAACTTATTTCTGGTATGTCTCAATTCAGCTGCATAAAACCCCATTTAATCCTAAGGCTGCTTTGCATTTCCAGCTATGTATGTTTAAAACTGCTCTTTTTTCATAAAAGGATTGAATTTGAGCTCTCTAAATTTGGACCAAATCCAAGAATCCTGCATAGTCTGTGCAAATGTGATAATCAGAAAATTTTCCAAGTAGATCACTGATAAGTCATCTACCTATGAAAGTTTCTCATTACTTATATTTCTAGAATAATGAAGTTTTCTAGTCTGTTTTCAAACTAACATATTTATTGGTTTTCATGCAGAGAATGTATAGCTTAAAAAAATGTTAAAATTATGTAAAACAAGTTAAAATGTGAAAATGTGTTTTTGCTGTTACATTTCAAAGCAGAGGAAATAATAAGGGTTGAAGTGACAAAGAAATTGCATAAAGACTGTTCCTCCAGGTCCTTGGAAGAAGTTGTAGCGACTCAGTCTGAACTGCAGATTTGTTTAGCTTTGTTAGCAATTAACATCTGTGAAATAAAAAGGGAATTTGACTGAGAATAAGCTTGGCTCTGTGTGTGTATGTTAGTTTGCTAAAGTGAACAGAGAAGGGTTTTTTAGCTGGGATATTTAAATTTGCTTATCTACTTTGGATTAAATTAAAAACTAACTCGTACTAGCTGACTTAAACCCCATTTATAAACTTTGACAGAATTACAGTAATTTAAATTCCTGATGTTGACAACCTTTCTTGTATATTGTTTCTGACTGCCTCAGTCCAAAGCATGCACTGTGCATGGAGGCAATAGTGAGTTGCAATACTGCACCTTGACCAGAGCTAATTTAGTTTTGAACAGGCTGGATGTTTTGAGTAGTTGCTGCCAGAGCTCTTAAAATTCAGAGGATGGTGCCTCTGGGGGTAAAATCTCAAGCATGCTGCAAAGCCTAGGAATTTGCATCCAAATTATGACTGCAGTATTGGCATCTCTCTGTCCTTCCATTTGACACCTGCATCACAGATCAGGGCTGATACACAGGAGCTGATAGTCCCCCAGTTCCCAGGAACTCTCTTCCCTAGTCTGAGCCCCTCTAATGTTCTAAGTATTTAAACCTTTCACAGCTTAAAGGCTTCTACATACCTACTGAATGAATGCATTTTCATAACTATTTTTAAAAATTCTATGAGTATTTCAGAAAAATCAGTGATTTATGGATTGTAATATCTGTACATGTTCACATGTTTCACTGCTTCCAAAAATGACAAATTCTTATTGCCAGAGGACATGAAACATGAGAGAAAGCAGTTAAGGCTCTTACACCAGTATTTAGGTGTCAGCATAGAAGGCAGTCTAAATGAAAGGGATGAATCTGAACTCCAATTACAATAGGTGGATGCATGATAGAGCTGGTAAAGCAAAAACACCCTGTGCTACCTCTGTAACACACTCCCCCATCCCTCCCAGCCCTCAGCTCCCCTCCTGGAGGGGCAGAGCTCTTACATTCAACCAGAGCAGCATGTCCTAGATACACTAAAGTGCCTCAAACACCCAAGACATTTGTTTCAGCAGACAGCTCCAGTCTCTTAAATAGCATTAACCCCACACAACAGAGGCACTAGTCAAAAGGCAGTGTCCTTTTGGGATATACATTATAAAACACAGAAAAAATAGAAATTAAAAAAAAAGGATGAAGTGAAGATAGAATAAACACTTTTTAAAAATATATTAATTTTATTCATTCATGGTACAAAAGGAATCTTTTCTTCCTCTCCCCCAAAGAATTGTCTTGCATAGCACCTAAAGCAAGCACACACACTATATTTTGGACACCACTTTTGTCAGACCTCTTAGCCAATGCCAACACTGATCCACTTCCTAAGCACATGTATTCAAGTTATACATCTAGAGAAGCCAGCTAATGGAAAATAAGTTTACTAGTAAATTAATCCCTGGTGCAACAGACTGAACCCTGAAGAAACAGAGGACTGGCCGCTGTGGCAACATGAACACATTTAGAAGCAAACCATGACCAGGAACTCCAATGAAGTAGCTCCATAGAATCTTTCTCCACTGCTCATTAACAATAGTGTATAATTTGCTACAAGACAGTAGATGTTGCTAATTCTAAGCAACTAAGAAAATAACACATTTTCTAGTGAGATAAGGACCGCAATACTTTAGAGTTACATTTGTATCAAGATGCCAGAGTTTTGACTGAACACAAAAACTACAGGTTTACTCCAGTGTTGTGCATTCCCAGAGCTCCCAAGCATTTATGGAGACACAGTTTAAGTTTAAAAATTGTTGGGTGAGGGTCACAGTCCAGAAGTTTAATGCTTTGCACCCAGCCAGTTCCAGAAGCAGGTTACAAAGGTATCCTTTAAGGAATCTTCTCTGATGTTAAGACCTGAGAAGCATGGCAACGAGCCTAAAAATAGGTGGGGAGAGAGGAAAAGAAAATACTTTAATGAACAAAAGCAGCACTTTAAAGAGCTTCTTCCAAATTAGCATTTAGTAATCTTAATGAGTGTTAGGGTTTACATTCCATCTTACTGAAATGGGAGCTTCCAAGACAACACTCTAAACAACTGATATTAAATATAAATAAAATTTTTGAAAACAAGAAAAAAGTGGCAAACCAAAACCAAATGAACATCACCACCATCACCAAATCCCAAACAACACCTTTTTTTACTCCACGTCCTGAAGTTTAAGGCTTTTTCCCACTAGGAGGAGAGGATGGTTATGTTTCACTGATATTTCTGACATGTTCAGGGCCAGGAAACACTTAAGACAATACCTCATTTCAACATACCCATTAAATATAGCTGAGCAAGTGATTCAGTTGCCAGTTATTTCACAGTTTAAATAAAAGTGTGTCCTGAAGCTTGAACATGCTGAACAATGCTGATATGACACCCCAGAATTGGAACATAGGTCCTCAGAATCAATTTGTTAGTGTAGGAAAGAAAAAGCTTTAGAAACAAAAACCACATTTGACAATCTGCTGAAAACTTCTAAGGTCTTAAAAAAGGTAAAATGCCCCAAAGTCAAACATATGGATAGGATTTATAAAAATTTCAACAGCTCAAGCCTCTGAATGTAATTTTGCACTGTGTTTGTAAGTAACTTACATGCTCACAGTCAGTTATTTAGGAGAAAACATTGTAAGAAAAAGGAAAATTTTAAAAAGCCTAATTTACATCTGCAAACAGCTGAAAGCTTCATACAAGACCTAGAAGTTGTAAGCCAGATCCATTTATATGCAAAATGTTATTGGTTTTGATATCCTGGGATTATATAAGCAGAAAGCAGGAGAGAAAACGATCAAGGAAAGTGAAAAGATGCAAAAAAATCCCTTGTGCAACCATATATGCATATGCATTCAAAGAACAGATGCAGATGGTCTTAAATTTTCACAAACAGAAACTGTTTTCTGAGATACTTACAGCTTTCTCTTCCAAAGAGAGCACCCCATCTACAGCCACTATCTGATATTGCTTTTCTTTTAGGCTACCCACAAATTTCCGAAGTAGTCTGAGACCAGTTCCATCACTGTTTTGTTTCAGGAGTTTCTGCATTTGTTGGGAAGAACATCCTGGGTCAAACAGTAGCAAACATAAGCTTTTGTTCTTCTTCTCTTCTATTCCAACAACAGTACGACTGTGGCCTAGTATCAAAACAAGAGTTTCAGTAGTTTAGAAACACATAAATCCCATTTACTACCCTGTAACTTATGACTGATTTTCAGATCAAGGAAGGCATTACTCAAAATTTAAGATAGTTATGAGATTACATGTCAAAAAGTTGAGATCCCAATCACATTCAGCTCTTCCATCCAATAAAAATACAAACTGTAATGTTGCTCTTACTAAATAGGAAAACTACAGGAAATAAAACCAAGCCTTCAATTCAATGAAGGACTAAAAAATGCTGCTCTGAACTGCAGTATCTATAAAGAGAGATAGAGAATAGCAAGAAACCAGCATATTGTGACACTGACCTTGATGTTGCAAGTAGATAGGTGGTTTGGAAGTACACACCACCTTTGCACCACCTTCATTATCTGTAGAATAGTAATGCAAAATCCACTCAAACAAGCGAGGATGTGTACCCATAGGGCCAGTGGGTTTGTGAAAGTCAATGATTTGGCACCTACAAAACATTGAGAATGAAAACAACAAACTTTCAAGCAGGTTGCTACTTTTCACCTCTAGGGTCCCTGTCTCCTGCACCCAGTGGTCCTTACAACTTTCTTATTTTTCAATACAGGAGTAGGGGACACATAATTACAAAGCAATGAAACATATACTGTCACAAACTGGAAAATGTATTAGATAAGAAAGAAATGCTCTACTTTGTTGAGTCTAACAAGAACTTGTGAAACTTGCAAAAATTAATGCTACTTTTTTAGTATGTTATACATGTACATTATAGAATCCAATTAAAAGCCACAGAAAATAGCTGAAATTTAGATTCTTCCTGAGAAGAAGCTTTCAGAGAAATTAAGTTCTTAATCAATGCTTTAATTTATGCATACGCGGCATAATTCAGCATCAATCTCAATGATCGAAGCAGTTACTCAGTTTATGTACCTCCTACAAGTAGTTACATGTACCTGTAAGTAGTTATATAGCTTCATGCTGCATTAAATCTGACTTGTTTATATATGGTTCAATTTAGTCACTAAGGTGGCTTTGTCATCACACAGTTGGGAATTCTAACCTTTAAAGGTACAGCACTTAAATCAGCAGTTAATAATAACAACCACAACAAAAAGCAATATTTACTTTATCCTGAGACTGGTTAACAGTGAATAAATTTCACATGCTCCTATCCATGCTTTGGAACCATGTAATCTGTTGTTGAAGTGAGATGCCCCATGAGGATCAAAACCTTCTTTCCAGGCATCTTCAATCATGGACTGAATCTTTGGGATACTAGGAATTAGTGTAGTATCTGGAACAGAAAAGCTTTTGAATTGTTGTTACAGTGACTGGAATAGTCTATTAATTATAACTATTCAGCTTCTTTTATAACAGGCATTTGATGTTACAAAGATGCACCAAAATAACTAAAGGTAAAACTTCAACCACATCATTTCTTGCCCATATTCACCTCTGACTCTTCCACAGTAAGTTCTAGTGGTGTAACCACCATTTAATAGGTATCATTGACCTTGTGAGACTTGCTGTGTAAATGAAAAGGCCAAACATCAGTCAGCAGGTTGTCATCCAAGGTACGTGGAACAAGCAGCATTTTGTTTAATACCTCTCAGGCAGTCGTTGTAGAAGCTGTTTTGCAACAGTGAGGAAAGGAGCATTTGGAAATTCCTGTAACCACAACCCCAGCCTCTGTCACCCAAAGATGAGTGGAAGTGATCTACTCCTGCTGAAAGCCACACACGCCTCACATCTTTGTTCTCACTCTGATAGTACTTGCACAATGCTTCAATGACTCCTAAAGAAGACAAAATGTGAAGTTTATCTGTAACATGAACTGTAAAAGGTGTATCTGTAAAATGTTACCAGAAGATTCCTTCCCCAACTTGGAACAGATACAGATTAATACAATTTATTTTAAAACTTCATTATATTTAGAGCCCAAATCACAAAAGCAGTGGAAATTGCCCCTAGTTAATTTCAGTGGTCTTTACTTTGATGAATTTATGTGCTATGAAGCTTTCAAAACTAAATCTATTATTTTCACTGTTGCTACACAGTAGTTATTTAAATTAAACAGCTTGGACTAAATTATGAACTGTGATAGTCAAAGGAACTATTACAATGATATAGAAAAAATATGTCACCAATAAAGCATTCCTATGCCCACGCCACCTCCAGCACATCATCTTAAAAACATGGCAATACTTATGCATACTATGTAAACCTTTTACTCCCCCCAACTTATTTTTCCTGGGGAAACTAAGAGGGGAAAAAAAACAACAATAACAACAACAACAAAAAAAAGGAATGGCAGAAATGTCACAGAGCTTGAGAATTATTGTAAATATTTTGAAATAATGCTCTTGCATGATATTCCAAGTTCTCCTTTGTTACATGAAAAAATATGTTTGGGAATACTCTCTCCAATTCATATATTTAAACCCTCAAAGCCCTTTCACAGCCATGCTGTTGTGAAGAGAATTATTCCATAATCACCACAAATTATTTTCTAACAACCACTCTGAAATCCATATCATTACCAAGAATGAAAACTTTAAATGTGTTATTTCCACGCAATCCGTTTCACAGAAGACATTTTATTTTACCTGTCAAGAACCAAGTGGATATTTTGTAAGAACCACTAGCAACAGGCTCAAAGACCATTGAATTGTGGTCTTGGAAAGACACGGGAGCCTTTTGAAAGGGACACAGAGACCCATCTGCCCTGTGTTTCTGCACCAACTATAAAACATTTAAGAGAAGATGTATCAAGTAGATGTCTACTCCTCCCAGTCCTCTCTTGGGCTTTGTAATCAGGTGAACACTGTGCTTACCTGCAACCAGCTTACACAATATAACAATTAACAGAAATACAAGACAAAAAGCTGCTGCAAATTTGAACAGCTACACCGGATTAGGAACCAATGAATACTAAGCAATAATCAAGCACAGGAACCAAGGGCAATCAGCTTGTGACATGTGCATCTTCTGATACATACAATACATCTATTGGTGCCCTTAACCAGACAACTGGGTTCCAAGTTCCACAGCAAAAAAAAAAACAAAAGAAAAAAAAAGAAAAACAGCCTGCAAGTTAGAACACAGATTAAAAATATACCAAGATATGATTTAATTTCCTTATTTAGGACTTTACAACTGTAACAATTTGGATTGATTTAGAAAATTATGCTTAGAACTAGGACACAGCCAATATTAAACAATTAATTATATAAAGAATTATATATAAAGATTGGTTTGGTCAATACAATCGAAGCTCTAGAAAGTACAGTTTTAGTTGTATAATTTCAGCATCTTTACCTGATGTCTTAGTTCTGCCATCATCTATACCAGAAGCCAAACTTTCCATCATGTCAGCTTTTCTCTTATGATATTCAAAGGGCTGCATCCTTCCTCTATCAACTTCTCTTTCCATATTCTTTAGAAATTGCTGCTTGAAGCCACCAGAATTATCCAAGCCATACTGTCTCTGTTAGGGATGGAATGTGCATGATTTAAATCACATTTTTTAAAATTCATCTTTTGTCCATGCAGTTCCTCAAAATCACTATTAGTAACTTTGAAAAACTTTGAGACATAAAAACTTCAAAATTATAATTATTTTAGAGCTGAAGACCAAGCTTCATTCCTGAACATGAATATGGGACTAGGAAAGCCACACCTGGAAGAGCAGACACATCCCTCTGCTCCCTCTTGGCAGAGCCATCAGCACAGAGGCAGTCTGGCAAGAGGTAGTGTGAGTGGGAAGTGAGTTACCAGGGCTGTGAGATGGGAGACAGAGGGAAGCGGGACCTGGAGCAGGTGATGGTATTCCAGTAAAGGACAGCCAGGATGCTCAGAGCCTTTGGCACTCTGGCAAGGAATATGCTCCAGGCTGCACTGCAAGGCAGAGCACAAGAGCTGGCTGGAGCACAGGCAACAGGTGTGGAGGGAGAGCAGAACAGCAAGCACAGGGAGCAGCAAGCCCCATCCTGAGCCAGCACCACTCAAAGCTGTAAAGCCAAGTAGCTCAAGGCTGTCATGTCCAGCATTCTGCCAGGATCAGCATTGCCAAGAGACCGAATTTGCTTCCAACCCATGCCTGCACCATTATCTCAACACAGACTGTGTGGCTTGCACAGTCTGACCTGGTAAGGCCATTCCAGGACATTACAATTCCAAGATACTCAGCTTCTAAAGGCACAACTGGTTTTAAGTTTACCATTTAGAAACAAGAGTGTACCTGCAGCTTTTGAAATTCTTCTCTCTCTCGCTTCTCTTCTTCTGATCTCTGCCGTTCATCTTCTTCAGTCTGGAGTTGCTGAGCCAGTTCTAGATCTCTAATGTTCCCACCTATCCCAGGACAACATTTCAAAGTGAGGGGACTTGGTCAGGAGGGTAGTAATGCTTTGAGTTTAATTTTCAGAGATTCCTTTCTAAGCAGACATACGTAAACACAATTGGGCATTAATTTTAGGAGATGCACCCCGCATTATTTTGAGCTATTAGCAATGAACGCTGAACAGGACTGACTGCATTCAGTCTACCAAGACTCAGTCTCTTGACTCGGACAAAGTTCATGCAGTTACTGGAGCAATTACTTGGCAAATAATGCACCTACCTGTAGCACTGAGAAGACAGTTTTTGTTTACTGTGTTTCACTTCACTGTTAGCAAGAAGTCTCAGTTCCTTTAATACCACTTATTAGCATCTAGGACCATTGCTAGCAGTCTCACAAGGAAGTGACAAAAATTTACAATCAGAGAACTGAATAGGGAATTCGCTAAGATTCTCTTAGCTGTGTTATAAAATAAAGTTAATTTAGATTTTTTAGTTTAACACTATGATTAATGAATCAAAAAAGTATTTGCAGAAATTAATTGAGAAAAAAAAATAAAGTTTTCATAAGCTATAAACTCTCAACTCATCACAGTGGAACATGCCACTGTAAACTCCATTTATGTAAACCTTCTATAGAGCTAGAAAAACAAATATATATTACTGTTGTCTTTTAAACATGTCTTGCTCTAAGTTTTTCCTTTGGCTAGCATGCATTCATTTACTTAGCAAGCATGCATAGACAAAGATTTCCTTATTAGCCTGGTAATTAAATAGAGCACTTGGGCAAGTGATAGGACCTTAGCTATGTTAACTTCATTATACATGTGTCCAAATTCCCTTTAAATACAGATTTATTTTTTTCATTTCAAGTGAGATTCTACACTACAACATGCAAGTATCTGCAAATGCTTTCAAGTATTATTAAGCCTGTACCCTTTCACGTACCTTCTGAAAAGTTATGCTCCTCTAAGTGTAAATCCACGTGTTCTTCAAGAATCTGAATGTTTGTACAGGTGAGACTACACATAGGACATTCATACAGCTGTTCACCATTCCCTGTGTCTGCAAAAGAAATTCAGTTTCTTGATTAATGCAATTCCTGTGGTTCTTTGCTAGAATCAGCCCCTAACTGATATACAATCTAAAACAAATACACAGTAATGAAGTTTGTGTTGCCACTGAAATTCCCCAGTGAAAGGCAGCAAATTCTAAACTATTGCTCTCTTCACCACTTAAGAATTTGTAACTAAATACATGAAAAATTTAAGACATTATTTTCCTTCTTTCAATTAAGTTTTTCCCCATTTAACTTACAAATCACAATTTGCTATGATAATATTTGTACCAAGAAATGTTTAGTCTGAAATATCAAACCATTAATGTGTTCTGCTAACAGAAAAATTTAATGTTCATGTAATAACACAGCAGCTGTTGGCCTGAAAGAATAAAAAGTGCTGTTATTCTTATTTTGTTGGTCTTCCCAATTCTCCTCAAATACTGTTCTTCTTGCAATTTCAGGATTATTATCAAGAGTACCACATAGTATTGGTAAAGTTCAATAGGATTTCTGGAGATCATCTCATCCCTGGTAGAATGGTGACATTAAATAGGTTAAGTTACACACAGCTTTTCCCAGCCATTTTTTGAATAATTCCAAGTATAGACTCCTCACAAATTCCCCAGAGGAACATGTTCTAGTGTTTAACCACTTTCACAGTAAAAATAAGTGTTCTTGCATTCAAATAGCATTCCACATATTCTGACTTGTGCCCACTGCCTGTTGTCACTGGGAACCACAGACAAATGCTTGACTCCATCTTTACTGCAAGTTCCTAGGATTTATCTCCACCTTCCTCAGTTCACAAAACACAAGAACTGGTATCCTGTGTTAGCAGTTTCTGGAAAGCATTTGTCCCAGCTAAATGTTTATGACAGGTTGGAGGAAAACTTGGTGGTACAATCATCTAAATTCACCACAACCATTTAACGTAACACTACAAAATACAGTCTTCTGAAACCTGTTAAACACATAAAAAACCCAAAATACTTTAATACAACTATTTTTAAAGCAGAAACTGACATGCAGGCAAATAAATTATTCAAGCTCTGCATTACCTGCACACATGGAAATGTTCAATGCTACGACCTGCGAGTGGGGTGGGTGGGTTCTTGGGGGTTTGTTACGAAAAACATTTGTTACGAAAAACATTTTAATGACAGATTATGCAGCGTGGTTGGCTGTACCGGCACATTTTGCATCCGAACCATCATTTATCTAGTCAGTGCATGTAGCTGGTTACATCCCAAATGCCAGTCTTCTAAGGCTATTACCCACCAGCAGAGATGCCACCTTTAAGTTTCTGAAATAACTACCAGCATTCGGCCAGTTAGCCAAAACAAAATTCTGATCAGGCCCAGAATAACCTACAGTACCTAAACACATAACTGCTTCCTTTGTCCCAGTTTATCCCCGGACCGGTTCCCGTTGCCCCCCGATCCCCGCGGTCCCTCGCGGCGCCGCTCACCCGTGCCCGGGGCGCCCAGCAGGTGCCCGTGCCGCGCCCGGACGTGCTCCTCCAGCTCCCGCCCCGCCGCCTCCCCGCACAACGGGCACTCGGGCGGCGCCCCGGGGCTGCGGGAGCCGGGCGGGCCCGGCTCCGGGTGGGCCGTCTCCATGTGCCGCCGGAGCTCTCTCCGGCGGGGCACTGCCCGCATGGCAGCTCGGTCGGGCTGGGACGGCGTGGCGGTTCCTCAGGCAGGAGGGCTCTGCCATCCTCCCGCTTCCCTGCCTTGCTGCTGGTGGAGGGGGCTTTGCACCGCTTCTGCCGGGGCCGGGAGTGAAGAGCCGTTCGTCGCTGTGCAGCCCTCAGGCTGGCCGGGTGTCCGGCCCCTCGGGCTGACAGCTCGGGCGGCCCCGGCGGTCTCGCACCGCCCGGTCCGTGCGGGCTGCGCCGGTGCAGAGGGGGCGGGGGGACAGCGAGCCGCCGTGTTTGGGGAGCCTTAGGTACCTACACAGGAAGGAGGAACAAAAAAAAAAAAAAAGTAGTGTGATAGGTGTTAGGGTATGCACAACAAGTGGGTGCAATGCAGGATGTGGTGGGTGGAAGGATTTAATGTTAAAACGGGTGTAGTTTTGTAGGACAGAACTGCGGGTTTGCTTGGATGTAGATGCAGAAGGTGTGAAAAACCAGGGACTGCCAGTCTTTTTGCCCTTGTGATGTCTATATCCAAAGCCTTGTGGGGGATGGAAGCTATAAATTTATCAGTTTTTCTCTTTTAAAACAGTTCCGATGAGACCTTCCGTCCAGTTGACCTTCTGTAACACTTCAGAGAGGTGGTGGCTGGGTTACTTTGAACGTGCATTTCTCTTGTTCAGTCCATTTTCTTGGCCTGACAGTTTCATTGGCACAACTAAATTAGCAAAGCATGAACGATTAAGAAAGGGATGGTGTTCTAAGACTAGATAATCCACTGGTATTGTTGGGGAAATAAAGTTACATGATTGTTGCTAGAAATTTGCCTTAGACAGTGCACACTTAGCCTTGTGCAGAGATGTCGGTAGTTTACTTAAGTTCTTGTGGAGCAGATACTTGGGTGAAACAGGCTGCCAAGTCCTTGTGGTGCCTTGATGTCAGCCTAAGTTTGCAGTCTGCTTTCCTCTCATAACTTATGTTTATTGCTTAGTGGTCCTTGGTACTGCTGAAAAAAGTTTAAAAAAAAACCAAACCAAAACAAAAAAACCCAACCCAAAGCAAATTGTCTCAGTGTGGAAGTTGCCAGAGAATTTTACATAGCTTAAAAAAAACCCAAAACAAAACAAAAAACCCAACCCAAACAAAAAACCCAAAGCAAATTGTCTCAGCGTGGAAGTTGCCAGAGAATTTTACATAGTTCAGGAGCTGTAGTTTACATGTTTTCTCCTTGTAGCAGAATTCCAGAGGAATGATCGCTTGTGTAGAGTCTTGTTTTTAACTGTTTGTCAGATGAAGGCTTCAGTTCTAGCTTTAAAAAAAGGCACCGTGCTATTAACAACCTTTTCCACTCTGTTTGATCATTCTGGTGACAGAATCTTGAACTATCACTTTTATCTTTCCACAGCTGATATACCTGAACTGACAGTCAGATTCTAATCTTGTAAATCCATGACAAGAACTGGTAATTGGAATGAGACAATAATTTTGTTAGTTTCAAATGAAAAAGAGTATGCCTGTCTGCGTGCCACTGACCCTTAAATTATTTTCCTGCACACAGTTTAGAAGGAAAAGCGTAGCCCTTAGATTTTGTTATGTTTGTGAGATAGTGAAAATAAAGAAACAATGCCATACGGTATTAAATGAAGCAGTAATTACTGCAGGTTTTCTTCTAAAGTTTGTGTTTATTTGTAATATATTTAATGTCATCTTTATGAGAGGAGGAAATTTTTTTGCTTGCTTGCTGATAGAATCAAAATTTAGCAGCATAATATCTTTTTAGTAGCTTTTTGTTTTTCAGTTTGCTTGTAAGATGCATAGTTTCTTTTTACAGTAGCTTATGCCCTTTAATACTGCATCTGATTTTTGAGATGAACTGTAGTTTAATCTGTAGTTTGGAAATGCCTATCTAGGCATAGGTTTTCTGTGATTTCTGCATTTAAGATTTTTGTTGATGAGCTCGATTTTGCAAACATGTAGGAATAGGTAGCGGCTGCTGTAGATATTTTCATCGTGCAAGAGACGGCAGGTGTGGCCTTTTGGAGTAATTCTGTATTTCTTCAATAGACAACATGGCAAGCCCAGCTAAAGATAACTTCAGAATGAAAAGCTACAAGAATAATGCACTTAATCCCCAAGAAATGCGCAGGAGAAGAGAGGAGGAAGGAATCCAGCTTCGGAAACAGAAAAGAGAAGAGCAGGTAAGCATCTTGGGGAGCTGTTCGCTGTTCAGTGCCTGTGGAGCTATATTCTGGGGCCTGAAAGGACTTGAGCAGACTCATCCTCTGGAGTGGAATCTAGGAATTCCAGGAATGCCAGGTTGAGTGTCTGTTTTCTTTGCATTTGTGGGAAGCACCAGGCACCTCTCAACAGGATCATAAAAAGGTGAACAGAAGCCCTTAGAAGTTACTAGGGCACACAGAGGAGAGAGCTGTGACTTTTAACATCAATCCATAGTCTAGGTTTGTACATGTGAGACTAGACCAAAAGAACACTCATATTTCCAGTAAGAATTTGAAACCTTGCATTCTCTGCTAGAGCTGGGGTCACATTTGGTGTGTGAAGGGAGAGGATTATTTTCATCTTTGATACCATGCTTCAAATTGCTGAAGAGCTCTTCTACACCAACTTAATAAAGTGGCTGTCAATTAGGGTCTCTGAACTGTTATACAAAGATTTGCAGTTGTTCTCATTGAATTTTTAATGATCGGAGTACGTGGAACATTGTATTATGTAGTAGTTTGTCATAGTTCCTCTTCACAGAATGTGTGGTAGTTTCTTGCCAGGAGGGTAAGGAAGGTAGTTTGTTTTTCTCTTTGGTTTAAAGTGGATGACTTTGTCTCCCACAACCTGGAGAGTGTCCCAGGCTCTGATCTACACTCTGCTATGAGGTGGAATGCTTACCCTTCTACTGGGAAAGTGGTGCATGGAAAAAGAATTTCAATTATTTGGGCCAGAGGGGTAAGAGTCAGAAGTGGTGAGCTACTGGAGCACTTATCTCTGAAAGGGTAATGCATTGCAGTTCCTGCTGAAAGTTTTGTTTACATATTTTGTAGTAAATGCTCCCTAGATAAATTATGAAAATAATGGGTGTTTCCTCTCCCATGCTGTTTTAACCATGAGACTACTGTTATGGTCTGCTTGATCTTAGTTTGTTGGACTGGTGTTTTTCAGCTCTTCCTGACCTGAGAATGAGTTTATGCAGGGAGATGAGACTGCTTGTGCTCCAGGACAAATTGTGACTGGTAGAAAGACCAAGCAAGTTTATACTTTTCAACCAAGAACTTCTGTGTCCTTGTTGAGCATTGAGAAAGAATGGCTGGTCCTCCAAAAGTGGAATATTGCTTCTTGTTCCTTTGTGGGTTTAAATGGAATTAAACCTCATTTGCATTCAGTATTCTGTAGTTGTTTTGTTTCCAGAATTACACCCAACCCATAAGTGCATCAAACAGGGGAGAGAATGCCTTGGTTTAGGTTCCTGTTGAAATAGAGCTGGATATAAACATGGAGTTGTTCTGCAGTTTTGGATGTGTAGAGCAGCAGAAACCTAGGTCTGTAGACACCTAGAGGGACAAAACTGTCAGGATTTATAGGTGGTTTCATTATTATGCTTAGAGGTGAAATCTTAGTCAATGGACTGAGAGCCTCTCATTTCCTTCTGAAGGTATGAATGTAAATATTCTTAGAATTGTTGGTTACACTAGTTGTAAGTGTAGTATTGGAATAAAGATAAAAATTTATGTTTGGTTTCTAGAAGAGAACAGGTCAATGTGAATGTTTTGCTTATATTCCAGAAAATGAAGAGTTTATTAAATACTTCTAATACTATTAAATATTAAATACTACAGTGCTGGTATGTATTCTGAGCATAGGCAGTGTGAAGTGTAAGGCAGTTTTTGGACATAGAGAATATTTAATGTTGCATGGTTTGGAAGTTCACCTTGAAGCTATACTATTTTTTTTCCCCTTCTATATGAAAACTGTGTTTCTAGTTTAATCTTTCCTCAGCTGGGTATAAAATACAGATGCTGCTTAGTAGTCTTGTATAGAAAGGAGGAATGCAGTGTGCTGAAACACAAACATTGCCTCTATGTTGGTGATTTTAGCCTATAAGCTAAGAAGGGGGAAAGTAGCTTGTAGAATACTATTTTTTGTTTAAAATGCACGCTAATTATAAGGGATAAAAGACTAAAAGCAAAAATATCTGTATCCTCTTTTTCTTGTGGAAGAAATTAAGGATCTTTATAACTAGTAAGAATCTAGTTCTGAATGTCTATCTGAAGTGTTGCTGTGCAGTTTCTCAAGATACAGATATGATAGTTTTTCTCCTTTATGTTACCTAAACTTTTGTATAGAATTCCCCTTGCATGGGTGGAGGTGAGTAGGTAAAATTCTTTGATTGGTATTGGTGAAAGCATTTCTTCAAGTGTATGTCATCAGTACCCACACTTTGGTTACTCCTAATGTCTCCCAAAAACTTCCCCTTTGTTCAGCTGTTTAAACGCCGAAACGTGTCTCTCCCGGGAAATGAAGAATCCATGGTAGAAAGCCCAATTCAGGATCCTGATGTCAGCTCAACTGTTCCTATTCCAGAGGTAAATACTTCAGAATGTGTTTAGAATGTTATCTATTAGTGTGCATAGTACTACACTATAAGAAATCTTCCTTGCATTTTAGGAAGAAGTTATTACTGTAGATATGGTACAGATGATTTTTTCAGATGATCCTGATCAGCAACTCACAGCAACTCAGAAATTCAGAAAATTGCTTTCTAAAGGTAGGTAAACATTACCTGGTTTTTTTTAGTTGCTTCCCTCTGTGTTATTGTGAATTATACTGAGAGTCAGTTAATATTTAGTTATGTTTTATTTTGAAATAGATCTTGCAGAAATTTGTAGTTCTGTTTATAAAGAAACTGTGCCAAATCTCTTTGACCTCATGGTTAAGTACAGAAATCTTCATTATTTAGATGTTAAGTCTTTCAAAGTAAAAAACAAGGATGTTTTTGATTGAGGTGTCCAGGGCAGTAACTAACTGCACACTAACAGAGTAATTGTTGCAGTGATTCAGCTTCTCATTCCTATTCTCTCCTCAAAGGAAAAAAAAAATTACATGTCTGTCAAAGAAGAGTTGTAACTTGTTTTTGTTGGGGCTGTAAAACATGCAATCTTAAGGTGGTGCTGGTATGTTTATAGCATGATAGGTAAGGGTATGCTTGGTCTTTTAAAATAGCATCCAGTAACCATAATTGCTCTTCCACCAGCTTGAGCTGTTGGTGGAAGGAAGAGTGTTCTGTGATGAATTACTAACATGCAAATAGATAATGGTATGTGTTACTGTTATTATATGTAACAGGGTGTTTACTACATTGTACCACTTCATAGAGAAGATCCTGTAAGTGAAAAGTTTGTAACTCCTTTTGAAAAGGATTGAATGAAATTATGATAGGATCTACAAGTCATATTCATGGTTTTGTCATACTGAAAAAGTAATTTATTTGGTTTTTTAACACAAATATGTTTGTTTTGATTCCCTAGAGCCTAATCCACCTATAGATGAAGTCATTCAAAAACCGGGAGTAGTACAGAGATTTGTGAAATTTCTAGAGAGGAGTGAAAATTACACTCTACAAGTGAGTTCAGCTTGTACTGATTTGGGGTTTTGAATGGGATTAGAAACCTTCCAAAAGAGCTTTGGAAGGCACATGTTGTTTTGTTTGGTGGGGGTTTTGAGTAACCAAATATAATTATTTTTCACCACTGAAGCCGTATGTTTTCATTATTGCTGCTAAAAGTGTGACTTGACTTTGTGAATTTCGTAGTAGTCTTTAGGGTCATGTATTCAGCTGCACAAAAGCTTGGGTGTTGAAAGCAAAAGGTGTTCAAGAGGATTTGCAGAGTGGTATATTAAGATCATCAGCAATGATGTGTGAGCAGGATCTGTCTTGTTAAGTGTTGAATATATTGTAGTACTTTTCAGCTAAAATCTTAGGAAAAAAATTCAGGAAACTGACAGACTTGTTTGAAATCCTTTGAGAAGATATCTAATTAATGGTCGGAGTAACTAGTTCTGTCTACTCCTCCATGGGAATAGCACTTAGGCCTTGTGGACATTTGTTCTAGAAGAATTAACTTAATATTGAGTAAACAAAAATTATCTGTATTAGTTAATACAGTGACTCAAAATCTTTCTTAGTTCTGCAAGCCAAAACCTAAAAATAATGTAGTTACTGAAAGTTCTTACTGAATAGAGATTTTGTCAAGACCAGGTTTTTTATTGTGTAGAGTACTCTAATAATAATTGCATGTCAGTGGAAAGGAAAAAAAGTTGGAAAATTAACCTCTGAAACTCTTATGTCAAACTTCATGTCATGATGTTAAGTTTCACTGCTGAGTGGTTTAACGTGGCTATGTTTGTGTTCCTCAACAGTTTGAAGCAGCTTGGGCTTTGACAAACATAGCGTCTGGAACTTTCTTACACACCAAAGTTGTAATTGAAACTGGAGCTGTTCCCATTTTTATTAAGTTGCTTAGCTCAGAACATGAAGATGTACAGGAGCAGGTAACTGTCTTCTTGAGGGGTTTTATAACTACTTAAAATTCAGTCATGAATGTCTCTTTTGTGGTGTGTTGGCTTACAGAGGCTTTGACCCCGTTTACCTACTAGCTACTTGATCTGCCTCCAGGAAGACAAAAATTTACTGCCACTATTTTTTCCCATCATGGATTTTTTTTTTCTATTCTGTAATATTTGCTGTAAAAAGTATAGAATATCTGTAAAAGTAGATTTGCAAGTACGTATAAATTCATTTGGATGCTTTGCTTTTTAAGGCAGTGTGGGCTCTTGGGAACATTGCTGGTGATAATGCAGAATGCAGAGACTTTGTTTTGAACTGTGGAATATTGCCACCTCTCTTAGAGTAAGTATTGTAAACTAACACTATAATATATTGTATGTGTATAGATAAATGAAAACTTCAGCTTAGAATTTACTTGAAAAGAGTATAAGTTTTTGTCTACATTGAGAATCATAACAATATGATAAGAAGCAATTTGATGTTTTGGATTACATGAGCTTCATGTATATTTTTAATTAGTTCATGACTGGAAGCTTTTCAGTGTTTGCAAAAGCAGAGAAGTGTAACATCACATGTATGAAATTTCTGTATTGTGCCAACTCTGTTGTCTAATTTCTGAATGTATGGGGTGCGAGACAATTTGATTCCCACTTGTATGATTCCATCTGCCTAGGCAATAGGCCATTTTCTCCACTTTCTTTCAGTAGCTCCAAGCTCTAGTCTTCCTATTTATCTATTTGCTTGCAGAGGTGAGCTGACAGAGTAGTTGTTACATGAGCTGTGTTCCATTAGAAGATTTCTCTTCACTAGGAATATCATTCCAGCATTTACTGTGTGCTTACCATACTATTTTCATCACAGGGAAAAATTTGCATGAGACAAATGTTACTCAGTTTATTACCACTTAAGGTAATAAAACAAAACATTTGTAAAATAGCTTAAAATAGCAGAGGATAATATGATTACCTTCAGCAAGGGCTTAAATAATTAACATTTTAGACATTTTGTTATGAATCTGAAAGTAAACCTGATTTTTCAGGTGTTGAATCTTTCATGTTCTATTTGGCAAAAGCAGAAGTAATGTGTTAATTTTTTTACAAGAACTTCCAGGTTTTAGCTTTTTATGGAAGTATTTTTATTATTATCAATTGCATTTTCTGAATGAAAACATCAAAGTTCATTCCATGCAGGATTGCGTCTCCTAGCCCCTTCTAAAGACCCTCAGAAAGGTTTAGTTGAATAATGTTTCACATAAGCAATTGTTTACTTTATATGCATGTACACGATTTGGGAACTAGAGATGCCAAAATTATGCAAAATAATCTCAGATTCAGTTGATTTTAAGAAAATAGTTGCAGCATATAAGATATGAAGAGGAATAAATTTAAACTAGTGATCAGTGATAGAATTTATCTTCCTTATGTGATGTTCTTTTGGTAACAATAGCCAGAAAATTACCTAAATTTTAATAAGAAATTACTTTTTCTTCTTACTGTTGTCTCTGACAGATTGTTAACTAATTCGAATCGTCTTACAACAACTAGAAATGCAGTCTGGGCACTCTCAAATCTTTGCAGAGGAAAGAACCCACCTCCAGACTTCAGTAAGGTATAATAAAGTAGTAATTTTGAGAAATCAGAAAGCTAAAGAATGTTTGTAATATTTTGTCATAAACAGAATCTTTGAATCTGAATATAGACATACTTTTTATGTTTCTAATGTCATCACACAGTCTTGCCCATCTGTTTTATCTCTGAAAAATCATCTATTTTGGCACCCATCAGCAATAAAATCATATCTCTTAAAAACTTGAGACTATAGTCTGGTGCAGAGTAATACACTGGTGTGAAGTGATGGACAAATTATACATTCAACACTAAACCATGTGGGACTGTATTTTCTCCAGAACTGTTGTAGAGAATGTGAGTTATAGTTGAAGCTCCCTCAGTTTTTTTGGGTTCTTTTTTGTTCTATGATTGTGAGTGCATGCTGCATGAATAAAACTTTGAGTTTCCTGCTCTGTCAGATGCAGTTAAACCAGACTATGATGACAGAGAGAGCCTCTATGCTTTCCCTTTTCTTCTCCCTAGTATGTGGCTGTAAAGACTACAGAGACTAGTAGGAGTTTTAGTTTATTTTCAGTATGAAATTAATTTCTGGTAAGGTTAATAACTTCAGAAAATATTAATACTGGATATTCTGGTAGAAGAGACTGAGTTTAAACGATCACTAAAGTTAATCTGGGGAGAGTTTTACCTCATAAGATAGTAATTACTAACTAATAGTTATTGCTACTTATTAATTCTTGAAGAAATATTAACAAAAAGGGGGGATTTCTGATGTCAGTTAATTGATCACCTCACAATGACTCTTGCCTAACCTATATCCTTTACTAGTGTTTTGTTCTGGTACTGATAAAACAAGATTTTTTGCTGCTTGAATACAAAACCTCACAGGAAAAGCATGCCCTATAGGCAGCTGCTAATAAGAATAAGTCCTCTGCTTTTTGCCCTTTGCAATAGCAGCATTTGGACACATAATAGAGACTGAATTTGCATAACCCATGTCAGGTAAAGAATTAAGTTCTACAGAGATTATGGAATTCCCAGGCTGTACAGCAGACACCTGTCAGGTTCCAAATGGGGCTAGGATGATCTAGTTCATTTGGCTCTGCACAGAAGTTACAGAGATTAAGGTACAGCAGTGATGAGAACTGAAATGAGACATTGCTTGTTTCACCAGTTCAGTGAATGCTGGGTGCTATGTGAGTTACTCTAGGTTGGTTATTACATGGAAGTACTCGTACTCCTACAAAGCCAGAAAGCCAGCAAAAAAAAAAACCAAAACAAAAAAAAAAAAAAAAAAAAAAACCAAAAAACCACAACCAAAAACCAACTTTTATGACTTAGTGATTCTGCTCCCTGAATGATTAAAAAAGCATCAGCAATTCCTGTAAAAGAAGATGGCTTTTTATTTAAGCTGAACAATTATGTACTTAATACAGTATCTCTCAATAAATAGGCTGTGAATCAGAATTTATCCAATTTGCTGGTTTAATTGGATATCTGGTTTAGTCAGACAGTGTTCTACCTGGGTCCTCATTCATTAATGACCTTGTGTACCTGAGCAGTAAATTGTTTTGCACATCTCTGACTTTGCAGAGTGTTCTCTGAAACTTGAAAAGTATGGAACACCTAATTTTATGCAATATTTTTCTTTAACCTAGGTTGCTCCTTGCTTAAATGTTTTATCAAGACTGTTGTTTAGCAGTGACCCGGATGTGTTAGCAGATGCTTGCTGGGCCCTCTCTTACCTTTCAGATGGTCCCAATGATAAAATTCAAGCTGTTATTGATTCTGGAGTGTGTCGAAGATTGGTAGAGCTGCTTATGTAAGTCTTCTTCTCACCAAATAAATGTCTTATAGTACTGTTAATGTTAAAATAGAGCTGTGTTTTCTCACCTGATGTCTTAATTTATTTTTGTGAAAAGTGATTAACATTAATTCAATCTGAAATCTTTGAAGCTGCTTGCTAGCTTGCTTGGCTCCTGCAATTATTCCTGACATTGATAGTGAAAAAAGTTTTCTCCAAAGTATTCCCTTATATTCCTTAAAATTTAATGTAGGAATTCATATACATGAAGGAATATAAAGGCAAAGCCTGAAGACCAGTGTTGAACTGTAAATTAGTTTATCTTTTTTTTAAATTTTAATTTCACTGTTGTACATTCCATTCTAGGATATATAATTGCTTTACAGACAGTTCTTGGACTCAATGAAGTCCAGAGGCTGGCTAGAGCAATTTTTAAACTGTTCCAATATATTTGGGTTATGGTTCATTATTTTCCTGGAAAAGGAGACTAAATCCCTGTGTTCACATGGGACTGCAGAGTAGGTCTGGGATAATAGTTCCCAGCACAGACAGCTCAGCACACTTCCCTGTGAAAAGCTTGTTTTAATAGCTGTCAGCAGAGGGAAGATTGCTTTCTCTTCCATAGAAGCTCTAGGACAACTGTAGTTTCCTTCCCTCACACATCAGGCAGCTGAATATGGAATTCATGTGCTAGCTTCTAGGATTATTGACTCACAAAAAGGGTGATTTTGCTTACAAAACATACTAAACTTTACTATACACCTCCCTCTGTTTCTGTGGCTATTGAATGACACGTGTTCCAGTACTGTATTTAATACTACTTGAGTTGGATGAAATGGATCTGCTGAGCAGATTGCCCTAAGTTGTGCTGTTTCATAGAGGTGCAGTTCAGTTGTGGGCTTGTAGTAAACAAATTTGACTAAACAGGGAAAGTGTAATAAGTAATACAGTGTTTTTGATAACTAAATACTTAGCACCTGAAGTAAACCCTTGTTTGCTGAAAATGCAAAATTATTCTTTTAACACTTAGTAATATCAAGCAATATAATGTTTGTCTCCAGGCATAATGATTACAAGGTGGTATCCCCTGCATTAAGAGCAGTTGGAAATATTGTTACTGGGGATGATATCCAAACACAGGTAAGACTAGTTGATTTAAAAAAAAATATTTGGCAAGACAGAATTTTGTGAAAACATTGACAAAATACATGTTCAGTTTATGTATCTGCATATGTCACTGAAAGAGGCTTTCTACAAATCTATGTTCTTGATTTGATGGTTTAGGCTCCTGTTTTCAGCATCAGATTAATGCAAGAATAAACATTTTTACAGCATTGTGTGTAGTGGATTACTTCATTTCTGTCTGATACTTTGACTGTTGCTTTTCTTGGTTTTTTTTATTATGGTTCCACTTTTTCAAGTCTTAAAGGCAGTCAAGGTTTTCAATTTTAAGCTATGCTTATTTGTCCATGAATTTTTATGTGATAGTCTTACTGATGTAATTTATTCTAAAGATCGACTTTATTAATTTTAGGCAATGGCATTGAATTTGAAGTAATGCAGGAAACAGGAAGACTGGTCCTACTTTAAAAATAATTCTCTCTAAAAGGCTGACAGTACTAGTATAAAAAGAGCATAAGGAAAAATGTTACTTGTATAATTTGTGAGCTCTAGAATAAAGGATTTTGCTAAGGAATTAAATGAAAAACCTTATCTCTTAAAAAATTAACAAATAACTATACAAATTAGATGTGCATTTGTCAATCATTTTGACTTACTCATATTTTAGCCTTAAGCAGTCTTACTTAATTTTGCTTTTGTCACTCTTTTGGGCTGAACTTATTTGAAGGCAGATTCTTTCAAATTGCTGGATTGTCTGATCACACACTACAGCATTGAACACTTAAATTTTGCAGGATATGACACTTTGTATAATAGAAATGTGTTGGAAGATCTTTTGAAGTCCTCTGTAAAATGCTTTTATATTTATATATATGTGTATATTGTGCAAGGCTATATATAGTACAACCCAGTTTTCAATTTTTAAATTATTTTAGGTGATTCTAAACTGCTCTGCATTACCATGTCTCTTGCACTTGCTTAGTAGTCCCAAGGAATCTATCAGAAAAGAAGCATGCTGGACTGTTTCTAATATAACTGCAGGAAACAGAGCTCAGATTCAGGTAAAGCCTGGGAATTTGTTATTTGGTTGGTTTTATTTTCATTTTACTACTTTACTTGATTTTCCTTGACAAGATGTAAGTGGATTACACTGACTCTGTATTATTTGTTTTAGTCCTCTCTGTAATTTTACCTAACCTAAATGGTTTCTTCTAAACTTTGAGATATTATTTTAAATAGAAATAGCTCTCACAATTTGTATTACAAATTTGTCCAGTGAAAGGTGAATTAGTTTGTAAATGGTGAATATTTTGCTTGGATAAAAGCCCGACATGATGTCATCAACACTGAGTTGTATTCTTGTGGAAACTATTGCATCCTGTGTTTTTTCAGGTGACTGGAGCTATCTGGAAGAATGTTCTGATCAGTAAAAATGAGAATTCTGAATCAGAACATGTATTCCAAAATTATTTTTCCCCTTCTGCTTCAGAGAAGAAAATGTTACTTCCTGATGTAACTTAAAACATGTAATGAAGTCTCCAATTACATGCAAAGTCTCTCAATGGAGACCACAGGACCTCAATAAAATGGAAAATTTTGTTCTGAGGCTTGATCTTCAGTTCAAAAACTCAGGATGTGTAGTATGATTTTTAAATGGGCCAATCCAGTAAGCTGGGCTCTGCCCACCAGAAACAGAGAAATAAAAACCCCAAGGTTTTCTGATGGCCACTGCAGTGCAATATTGGAATAGTTCTGAATTTCACTTCAGCATTTATAGTTTGTATGACATCACCTAAACAAAATATTATTTGCTTTAATATCAGCAGGATCACTAATTCAAGGTATAAGTGTTCTGAAATCTTTATTAATGGTTGTCAAATGTTACTATTTCATCTCTTAGGCTGTCATAGATGCAAATATTTTTCCAATATTGATTGAAATTCTCCAAAAAGCTGAATTTCGCACCAGAAAAGAGGCAGCATGGGCCATAACTAATGCAACGTCAGGAGGAACCCCTGAACAGATCAGGTAAGTTTGTGTGTGTTACTATTTTTTCTGCTTAAGGATCTTCTGTAGGGCACATGAATTTCTACATTTGAATCTTGACAGTCAGAGCAACAAAATCCTAAACATAGCCTCATTTCCTTGAATCTCCAACTTGAAAATGTACAAATTCAGAAAAATCAAAGTACATGCAACAAACATAATAAATAATTAGTACTTTTTTCAGGGGTGTTGCACCAGGCTTATCTTCTACAGCTGATACTGCATTGTCAAATAGAATTGGAACAACTGATGAACAGTTTCAGTGTTTGAAAATGGAAAACTGGGGGGGTTCTTTAGAAAACTTGTGCAGTGGGATTGTATATTTGGGGATAGACTGCAGGGATTCTAGTAGTTTCTTCATGTATTTTAACTTTGCTATCAGTATTATTTTAAAGCAGATACCTAAACTTGCTCAGAACTGAGTTTGATTAAATTGTTACTATCAGTAGCTATTTGTATGCTGCAAAGATAGAATTGCTAGAATAAAATACTCTCTGGTTTCTCTGAATACTGTAGAATAATGAACACTTTGAATCAGTAGCTGATAATTTGATTTAAAAGTTACTGTATTATTTGAAAGCCAGAACTGAAAGTGGTGTGATAGCTTTTCCAGCATATTTGGGAGATCTGTTGCAAAAAGTATGTTCTTAGTTATTTATAATGTAACTAATCCTTATTTTCTTATAACCACTAAGTGTTGTCAGGGGGATAACTGGGATAACAAAGGAAAGTGTCTTGTTTTTTTTTAATTTTTAAAATTGCTTGTATACCGTAATATTTCAAAATCTAGCATTCTGAAAATAAATTTTAATTCAGGATCTTCAAATAGTAGATTTGCATATAATACCATAACAATGGCTCCTCATAAAAAAATGCATTTATATTATTGGTGTTGTGAAGTTTTAGTCCTCCTAATATCCTCAGGGTACTACTGCCTGTTTAAAACTATACTGCAGTTGCAGGATAGTTTTAAACCACTGACTTAAACTGTATTTAGGCAAACATTGCTGTTGTTATTTTACTCACATGCTAGAAGCAAGGACACAGGTTATGACTTGTGAAAGTTCATACACAATTTTTTTCAAAATTGTGAAAAGGAGTGGGATACTCAGAATCCCAGTATTTTGTCTTTGTATTTAGAGTTACATCCTTCTCTTTATAGTAGGTGATGCTAAAATCTTGACGGACTGCTAGTATGGACTGTGTTAGCACAGAACAGTGCTCAGTGTTCTTACATGTATCTAATGTGTTTGCTTGATATTTTTACCACTAGAAAATTTCAACTGCCTGAGAAAAGAACTTCCTGATAGAATTTTTTCTTTTATATTCAATTAAACCCACCTGAAGATTATAGGTAAAAAGAAGTTAAAAAGACTACAGATTTCACACTCCAGTTAGGAATACACACATTCATTTTGTTTTATTAGGATAAGTTGTAATATTTATTTCATTTTAGCCTAAGTTTCTGTTTGTATTGTTGCATGTTTTAGAAATTCTGTTGTTTCAGCCACTTTTTTAGCAAAGTATTAATAGCAGTGGACTGGTATGTCAGAATAAATGTGCTGGGTTATCAGTTCTTTTCCCCTTCTTCTATTTTGTTTCTGTTATAAAGGTATTTGGTAGCACTAGGTTGTACCAAGCCTCTTTGTGACCTCCTGACTGTGATGGATTCAAAAATAGTACAGGTGGCTTTAAATGGACTTGAAAATATTCTGCGTCTTGGAGAACAAGAGTCAAAGCAAAATGGAATTGGCATTAATCCTTATTGTGCCCTCATAGAGGAAGCCTATGGTAAGAACACACTTCTTGTGAAACCACATACCTGAACTTCCTTATTCTAGGCTGTAAAAACAAAAGCACTGAGTCATTTTGAAATTTGCAGTAAGTTTTAATACAAGTATTACTCCAAGCAGAAGTAGTCACAAAGTATCATAAAGTAAGTTATATAACATTTAGGGGAAAGTGTTAAATGCAGAAAACTCTGGGTGTTTGTCTGTGGTCAGTTTAAATGTCCCTCTAGAGAAGCATTCTCAAAAGGGTTTAAAACAGATGTCCCAGTGTACTGGAACTATGCTTTGCATAAATTTATCAGCCATTCCTAAATACAGTTTTTAATACTGTAATACATAGTCCTGTCTGCTACAGTTTCATTACCAACAGACATGTAATATCAGGGGTTTTTTGATTGATCCTAAAGTTGGATCACTTTTTAATATAGTAAATATCAGTAACAGCAAAATCAATTTCAGGTCATAAAACCAAATGTTTTTTTCTTTTGCAAGTATTTTGTTTAGTCTCTTATAAAAGTTCTTGAATTAAACCTCTATATAAAAGCATTCTAATTTGTGGAATTTCATTACTGGATTCTTTTACAATTGGGTTACAATGAAACTGGCATTCTTTTTGGAGAATTGCCTTTTTTGTAGCTCTGACAAAACAAAATTGTCAGACATTTGTATTTCAGAAACTGCAAGTAACTAATAGAACTGTAGTTCTAATTGACCACATTGTATCTGATTAGATGGTACTAACTTTACTGTAAAGCAGTCTTTACATCTGAATTGCCTGTTACAGAGTTTACTTTTTAAAATCAAGTGCATGCTTGAAGAACTTAGCAATTAAATGCATAAGAGGAGTAAGTACTGAAGGCTTTAATGGAATTTATTGTATTACAGATTTTTTGTCCATTCATAATTTTAAGTATTGACTCTCTAGGTTCTCTTCTTTGCTTTAGCACTTAAGCATAGGCTGCTGAAGCTGTAGAGTATAAGGAAGGAAAGCAGCTCATTATATCACTATCACTGCTTTGGCCTCTACAGTCACTAGAAGTATTCATTTGAGCTCTTTCTAATCCAACCTAAGTGGAAACTACATTACCTTAAAAAGCTAAGCAGGAATTTTATATTAACCTGACTGCCTAGCACTTAACCTCTGCTTCTTTGACTGAATTACATCCTCTACTTGCAAAATGATAAGCTTTCTAAAAGTTACTATCTTTAAATCTTACAATTAAATTCAAAAAAGATACCAGACTGTGCCCACTGATGGCTCCATGAGTGAGACAGAATTTAGAGTTGGGGAAGACTGAAGAGTAGAAGAACAGAAATTGGGATATTAGTTTAATTGAAATGATTCTAGCTTAGTATTAAAATAAGTTTGGAGACCAGAAAATGAAGACTAGAAATACATGGGTTAAGAAATTAAGAAACAGTGATATCAAATTAATTGAGGTGACTTGGAATTGCATCTTTTTGCCTTAAGAAGTACTGTTGTACTAAAACCTGTTTCCATTTGAATTCATCATTCATTTAAGCAACTATATTTTTGAAAATTTTCTGTTTTGAATTTAGGACTGGATAAAATTGAATTTCTTCAGAGGCATGAAAACCAAGAGATCTACCAAAAGGCTTTTGAACTCATAGAACATTATTTTGGTGTTGAAGAAGAGGACTCTAGTATTGCACCTCAGGTGGATGAAAGTCAGCAGCAGTTTGTGTTTCAACAGCAGGAGGCTCCAATGGAGGGGTTTCAGCTCTAAACTACTGAAGTGAATATAAGCATAAAATTTAAACACTTGTATGGTTTGGGTTTGTTTTTTTTCTCTGAGGTCTTTTCTTTACGGCCAAAGTTAGAGGAAAAGCTGAATATGTTTTACAGAAATAGATGAAGAAACAGCTCATGCACTTTTATATATTGTGTTAGAGACAACTGTTCTCTGTTTTGTATTTGTGTTCTTCATTATCTCTTATGTACAGAAAAAAACTGTGAGTAAACATGTCTAAAAGCATTAAATGTGATTTAACAAGAACTGTTTAGCTAAGACTTGGTAGGATTTTAGGTAGTAGTTCTGAATTTTCATGTAGTCTCAAACTTCATATCAGCAATACAGTTACTGACAGTTGAATTTTTGGCAGTAGGCTTGACTTGCCCAGTTTCTATCAAATCTACCTCTTGTATTGAAGCAGAAACATTGCTTCAGAACTAAGGCATGAAATAAAGATGAGCTTGTAAGAAGCTGAATTGGAATGTGAAAAATATTTATTTAAATTGTGAAACTTTTATGCATTACTTACTTTACAACACACTGTTGGAATTTATTTATAAAATGTATTTAAAGACATAATAGATATACATATATAATGCTAATTACCTAATATAATATTGAATATATGAAAAAGTTCTTTCTGAATTATGTGGGAAGAGGACTATTTCAGAGGTTTTCAAATTGGAATCAGCAGAGACCTTGCTGATCATTAGATGTTGTCTCTGTAATGAAAGCTGCTAAATGGCATTACAAGTCAGCCACAACTGCAGTACTTTGCTGTGGAAGCAGCCACTGCAGTTACCACAAGAAAGCTGCAGTTACCACAAGAAAGCTGCAGTTAGGACTGACAGAAGGGTGATGTGCACCAGTCACCAAGCTAATGTTTTACAGCTGTCTTCTGTCAAGATGTGGTAACACCACTTTAGTTTGAGAAACATTGCAATGTTTGCCTTTTAGTACAATAGCTTCTTAAAAGTTTAGACAGTAGGTGTTGTTTTTTGACCAAGTGTGCTACTGCCACTTGAATTGTTCCTTAGGTTAATGAATTTGGTTTGCTTTTGGTAAGACAATAGAAATACTGCAATGAAAAATGAATAGTGAATCACACCAGTTGAAGGAAAAGTTTGTTGTACTGTAAATAGCATTAAGTATGTGGAAACCAAAACTAACTAGAAGTTACTGTCATCTAAATATTTGGGCTCTACAAGATACAGTGTTTGCTGTTAAACACTAAAAGATACAGAATTCTATTATTTACGTTGACAGTTTTGAGTACAGAAAAATGTATGCTCTGCTTTGACTTGCATATAGGTAGTGTTTCTGGTGTATTAATAGTATATCTCATTTGGAGAAATTAATACTTTGGGTTAACTCTGAAGTATTGCTATTTTTATTACCTGTAATTAATGCATTAACATCAAATTCCTGGGATAAGTGAAATCTGTGACATATGAGAGCATTTCATGCTTCATAAAAGGCTGCAATTCAAACTCCAAATGACTTACCCATGGCACTGTGCTTGTCACTAAAGAATATTTTAATGCACTGAAAAATACAGGTTAAAAGTGGTATCATTGACAGTACCATTTTATATTTAGAATTTTTTTTACATGCAAGTTAAGATTCTAAGATGTTTCACTTTGATGTTACAGCAATATATTCTATATTGTAATTGAATGTGGGACTTGAAGTGGATTTTCTAAAATTAATGGTCAGTTTTGACTAAGATATAATTGGGACGGGAAGCAACCTCCCTTTGAAGTCTTTTTAGTGGAAGATAGAAGTGTAAGAAGTGTATATAGGAGTGCTGTTACTTTATGAACTCTGAATAATGAGATATTTTAGCAAATGACACTTTAAACCTAGATTTGTACAGCATACAACAGTTTTGAATAGTGTGATAATATTGAGTACAGCTGCCAAATTTTCATATAATGTTAGGTGATTGTACTTATGCCCTTTTTACTCTCATAGTTTTAGGTTTTCATACACCAACCCTCTTCTTTCCCATGATCTGCCCACTCCCCATCTATCAAAGAACAGGGTAACAATCATGGAAATCTACCAAGGTTACTAGCAAATGCTGAATTTCAGTGTTCTAGTGTAAGAAAATTATTCAGGTAACAGGGTATTCCTTTGTTTCTAACAACCTTGTTTTGATAACAACCAGCTGTGCCTGCTTTTTATTTGGAGAACCCTGTAAAACTACATTTATAAGCCTCTCTTACTTAAACCAAATCTGAACTATGAAAATCTTAATTGAAAGACTTGAAAATTAAGAAAAGAGGGGAGATTTAAAGTATTATATTTGTTTTGAAGAATGTCTTCAGTTGTGTGGATATATTATTATATCTTGTGGACGGTTAGTGACTGCACTTTACACATTTAGGCAAACTGTATTTCATGCCTCTGATAAATTTAAATGGAACAATTTGAAAGGGAACTAAAATCGATGGACTTAGGATGATGAAAATCTTTATTTAAACTCAACATTTGGTTTACCCTGATATTGTTAAAAAATAATAATGAAATTTGTTTAAAGGATGGTCTCTTCTATTTTATCACTGGGCTTATATCATGCTTTGTTAGAAGCACATAAATGAACAAAATAAAGCCAGAGATTATGACTTAAAGTCAGCTCTGGTACTTGTTTGCAGGTAGGGGCATGATTATGATACCTAAACAGATGAAACTAGTATGGAGAGAGAAACAAACTGTGATATGAAAATCTCTTGAAGTTTGGCATTTTATATGCAATCTGAAGTGCCCCATCGGTTACAAAGTCTGTTTAAAAATACGCGTGTTTGGGTTTAATTAAAAGGGTACCATTTGTTCTGCTTAAATGTGAATACTAACTAGCTAATCTATGCAACTATGCAGAGCAGAAATTTTTTTTATTAGTTCCCTACTCTTGTTACACTGAATCATATCTAATTTTTTCATCATTGCACTTTTGTCTGAGGATTGGTTCGTACAGCTTTTTAATTTTTTAGTGTTTGCTTTACATGCTGTTCCTAGCAGCAATCAGAAAATAGTAATAATGTTGGCACAGAAATGTTTGCTGTAGAACAAGTTTGCAACTGGAAACTATTTATTGTTGGGCCTGTCTTTAAAAAATAGTAAAGATGCACTATTGTCTTTTCTCCATGGTTAATTCTCAGTAGGCTTAAATTTGTTAAATTGTACAGCTGAGGATTTTTGTAATAGGTCTGCAGATTGATACATGGACTTAAACTGTGACCTCAAGATTTCACTGAAATCTAGAATGAGAAATTCTAGTTACTTATGGCACAATGTCTTACATATATAATGCGGGAAAACTAAATTACCTATATGAACTTCAGATAGTAATAGTGCATCTTTAAATCCAGGCCAAAGGCCCATTACTGTAACAGAACACATATAAGTAGTATGCAATATTATGGAATGTTAAATCTCAAAATACCATACAGAAACCAATAAAACCTATTTTACAGATGTTTACTGTATTTATTTAGTGATTTAATAAGTGTTTCTTCTTAAAGCTAAAAAATGCAAATACCATTCTGAATACAGCATTGATGCCAGTGAGTTCCAAGTGGCAATTTGTGCACTGAAAAACTATGCACTGCCACCAGACAGAAAATTTCTTGGGTGTAAATATTTTGTGGTTATCTAATCAAAGGTACCTGACATGCTTAGGAAACTACCTCATCCCCTTTAAAACTAATTACTGCTTTTAATCATATGCAAAACATTCAAAATAGTTTCAATTATATGGAACAAGTATCCTGAATATCTTCCTAATGAAAGAGCCATTGCCTTTTCTTTTTGTGATGCTGTAGCTGCCCTTGCTGGCTCTAGGGTGTGCATCTACAGTTGTCCATTTAGGGGTGACACTCACTACTTGCTCTCAGCAGCAGTTAATTTTGCTCTTCCGAGGACACTGAGCATTGCAGATGGAATTACTTGGTCTTCGCCTCCGCAGCCAGCGCAGCCTCCTCCCGCCACTTGGCCTTCTTTGCCAAGTTCAGGCTCGTTAAGGACTCATGACGTGCAGCAGCCTGAGGAAGTAGCAACGTAGGAATAAGGATGCACTTAGGGAAATCTACCCAGCCTCGGGAATGGGCAACAGCCACTCAGGGTGGTGGGGGTGACAGAGACTAGATTAGCTAAAGCTTGGGCAGCTCTGAGCTGTGCTCGTGGTTTAGATTTGTGTGCTTTTCACAGAATTCCATTATTGTAAAGTGTGCTACACGGTCATACCTCACCTTCTTAGCTGAAGCAATCACTGCAAAACAGGCAATAATTGAGAGCCCAATCATGATGTAACAGGCTTTCACTCGAGCTTTGTTTCTTGCCTTGTCTATCATCTCTGGCCTGCAATTAAAGTAGTTGAATTGAGTCATTAAAAAAGGCAAAGTATCTTTTCAAAGCATTGCAGACATAACATCACAATTTAAAAATAAATACAGAATTAGCTTCTGAAACAAGCATCGTCAGCTTGCTGTGGTTAATTATGTATCAGCCATTTTCTGATCCTAATTCATTTCCCATGGCAAAGCAACATTTAGTGGATTTAGACTGTTTTGGGGTTTTTTAACCTGAGAAAAAATTGCTCAGGCAATAATTGTTTGCATTTCAATGCTTGGGGTAAATACACCAGAAATCATACCTTGAACTCTAAACATAGTGAAAATTGAGTGGGGTTATCTGTATAAAACAGATGGAGATTATATGTGGTGTTGGATGGAGTAAAAGCAAGTTCCCTTTATTCAAAGTTAACTTTAAAAATCAATTACTGCTGTATCTAACCTGTTCAGATGGTGTTCTGTAAGCTAAGAACTTTACATCCTTGGATTGTTAATTAAAGCAGAGTTTGTTCTACTATGAGTTAAAGGTTTTAGTTCTTTATTAAAGCAGCAGCCTGACAGAAAGTGGGCAGCTGATGTCAGCCACCTCACTATTTCAGGAACACGCACCTAAACAAGAACAATCTACAGGATTGTTTCTGCTGGTCATCAAAGGCAAAAATAGTGGAAAACTGCTGTCCTCTATTTGGCAGTAGCCAGTGCAAAGGAGACATTTTACAGGCCAGAAATTTGCTTTGGTACAGCTCCCATTTCCACCCTCCTCTCTTCTGAGCCAGCAGCATGGCCCTGGGAACCAGCAGTAGAGGAAATCATGAAAATTGTCCCAAAATGTTCAGCTAAGTTTTTCCAAGTCAAACATTATACTTGGGAGTACAGTTTTTAAGATATTCATAATAATACTGGCTGTGTACCGTTTTCCTTTCATAATTCATCATGGGAATGTTTTATATATTTACTTATATGGATATATAGATAGATTTGTAAGATATAAATAAATGTTTTATACATATGTATAAACCCACAACTATATGTGTAAAAAGAATACTTGCATAAAGAATTGGTTCTATGTTCTAAGTTAACATGGTGTAATGCTCTCTTTCCTTCAAAAAATCTTTAGATTTACTTTAAAGTAACACAATGGGATGGGGCAGAGCTGGGGATTTGACAGTGCCCATGAAAGCCTGCACCAAGGCTGAGGGCTGCAGTGCTTCTCTAAGGTTTGGTGTGGTGGAAGAGGACAGGTCCCGTGAGTGGCAGTGCTGTACCAGCCCTTCCTTGCCAGCGCACACAGGAGGAGCACGTTGGGCACATTCTGTTTCTTGCAGGTGACTAACAATGCCTGCAGTTCTAAGGAACTGCTTCTGGTTTGTACAATGATAAAAATCATCTTCAAAACAAACTGCACATCAGACTGGCACGTAGGATCGTTAATCCAGTAATCCATTTGTGGCAACAAAAGCAAAACCGTAAATGTTATTAGTCTGATGTATTAGCCTAATTATATTTCACAGTGCACTAATTGAAACTCCTCTGAGGCAGATTTTCACTTTCTCCCTGCTCTCTACATCTGCTTTAAGGAAAACAGACCTTACAATGTTCTTCACTAATTGCATATTAGGTCTTTGCTATTCAGTCTTTAATCAAGACTCCAGGCAAGCCTCTGCTGAAGTGAGTGACAGCTGGGGCTTTAAAAAAAAGCCCAAAGAAACCACAACAATCTTGAATAAACCCTACAGATTTGTTTCATAGTACAAACAAACTTCAGCTGTTAGGTTGTGTTCACAGGTAGCAACACTTTGCAATTCTTCTTTTGACAAGAGTTAAAACAGTGGCACAGTTCAGGCTCAATGTCTAAAAATCAACTACTTCTAGTATATTACTATTTATAGTATAGTATAGTATAGTATAGTATAGTATAGTATAGTATAGTATAGTATAGTATAGTATAGTATAGTATAGTATAGTATAGTATGGTCCTACAGTTCTAAAAATACTTTTCTTACCCAGAAAGCACAGTGGTGACACTCTCCTGCCAAGCCAGAAAGGAGTGATTTTTGTGCATGTGTCTGTATGACTGGCAAATGCCATATCTTTATAAACATCTCCTGACAACTTGAAATAGCATTTACAGCTCCTGAGACATGTCTGAACCTTCCTCTAGAGGAAGATGGTGAAACTAACAGCACAAGATAGGCTAAACTGTCCAGAAAGCCACTGTCCAGCTCAGCAAACTCCAGTGAAACCGTCAGGAACCAGCAAGAATAGGCAGAGGATGTACCTGTTGCTTTACACAGCTCTGCACACTGTTTATTCTCAATGTATCACCCCAGGCAGGGACATACTTTGATGATAAAAAGTAGCATCCTGGAGAGATGTCTAACACTCTATCTAGCATCCTAAGAAAAGGGAGCCTTAAACATTAGAGGGGTTTCAGGTGTTTAGTGCCTGACGCCCTTAGGGGTTGCTAACTTTCAGCAAGTCAGAGAACTGTAGAGTCTATGGGGTTTGCGAGGGAAGAGACCTTCAAAGATCATCTAGTCCAGTGGGTCAGCAAGAATAGGAGACTAAGGCTATATCAATTGCTCAATTTTCCTTGATGAGGGCTTCTTCTTCTCTCATTACCTCCTTCCCTATTTTTCCTCAAATTCTATAATAAAAAATAATTTATTGTATGTACTCATTCAGTGACAGCTCCCTTAGAACAGTTTATGCGAGCTATAAACAAAAAATATTGTTTACCAATAACATCCTTCTCTGACTGCACGTTAGGACTAAGCAAAACAAAAAAGCTAGTACATAAATGTAACCAAGGCTGTCTACTCAGATGCATCTGTTCTTAATCCCGGGCTCTAGGGACTCCAGCAAGGAACATTTTCTCATCTTAACCTCTAACCAGGACAGGAAATTCTCTTGCCCTCTAAATTTGTTTCCAAGTCTCAGTGTTGTAAAACCGATCGTTTTAAGCTCTGTGGAAAAGCTTTAAATTTTCCACAGAATCAGGATCGCACCACTGCTTTCCCTTCAGTTCCATGTTACCCTTGGACAAGGCCAGTGCACTTACGGGATCCTCAGAGGAATCTCTTCTTCTGTCTTGAAACGTCCAGTCCAGAGGAGGATTCTTTTGTCAAACTTCGAAGGTTTGTAACTTGCAGCCACCCTGTGAGCCTGCTCAGCTTAAAGAGTGAGAAAAAAAAACCAAACCAAACACTTTGTAAACCGAGCACTAAGAGAGAATTATGACTGATAGCAAGGTGTAGAAGGGGGAAACCCTATCCATTTTGGTTGTTGGAAGAGCAATTTAGGGATTAGATTTCCAGGTTTTGGCTACACAGAATCACCTCCGCGCCGTCTCTGGAATATCCCCGCACGCAGCGAGTGTTTCTGCGGGTCTGATTCGACCTCCCCGCCGCCCGCGGCTGTGGTACCCAGGCGAGCAGGAGAACGCTCGGGACCACCCGAGCTGCGATGCCACCGCGGCCGCCCCACCGGGCAGCCCGGTGCCCCTCCAATCCGTCCCGGTCCCGACCCTCCCGGCCGGCATCTCCCCGTCAGCCCCGGGACGCCTCCGCTTCCCCGCGGCGCGGCGGGCAGCCCCTTACCGCGGGCGGTGCCCGGGCTCCGGGCGGCATCCCCGGCGGCCGCGGCTCCCCGATGCAGCATGGCCAGGACGGCGAGGAGCGGCGGGACCCTCTGCCTCGGCCGGACTCTGTGCTTCGGCCGGTCCCTGTGCCTCGGCCGGACCCTCTGTCGCAGCGGGAGGGACCCCGGCGCGCCCCGCCCCGCCCCACCCCGCGAACCCTTCCAGCCGCGCCCGGAGGAGAGGCGGGACCATCGCCGACACCCAGCGGGATCGGTTCTCCCCAAAAGGCACGCTGTTCACCTACCGCACTCAGGGATCGCAACTCGAGTGAAGAAAGGTTGCTGATCGAGACAAAACTCAGCTAAGGAAACAGCTCAGCTACATGTTAGGAGGCGCACCTGCTGGAGCCAGTCCTGAGGAGGGCCACGAAAACAACCAGAGACCAGGAGCACCTCTCCCGTGAAGACGGGCTGGGAGAGCTTCAGCCTGAAGAAGAGAAGGTTCCAGGGAGACCTTAAAGCACCTTCCGGTGCCTAAAGGGGACC